TTATGCATGGGTGCTGTGCCTGTAAAGAGTTGCAAGAAGCGAGACGTGGAAAAGTATTATTCGGCAACTGTACAATATGCTGTGCAGAATATTCGGCATGACACTTGGATCTCTAGCACTGGCGGATTCTTTTATCAAGGAGAACTTGTGATTTTCGAATAGCCCATCTTAGCGATTCGCAAGCCATTTCTCTGAGATCGCCGGAATTCCAGTAATCAAGCCGGAATGTTGCCCCACCCCTTCGCTGCCAGTTCAGCGAGGAAGGTTTCAGACTCGAATATTCCTCAGCATTTGAGATGCTGCGTCAATGTTCCGAAGCGCTGCATTCTGTTGTGCTAGTCAGATTAGTAGCATCACTGCGATTCATCCGAAGATTGAGTATTTTGTTTTGTGTGCCTGTGAAGTTTGGAGCCAAAAGTGTGCTTTTGTTGCGTGCTGCTGGCTAAACAGTGTTTTCAGTAATAGATTGGAAAAACTTTATGAGTCTAATACCTTAGCTGTTCTAGCAAAATCCTCACAACTAACCTTATCATGTCGTAAAAATTATCCTTGTTTCTAAACGGTCCTTCGACACTACATTTTAAAATTTGCACTTGTTTCGTTTTTCATCATATGATCACTTTCCAAGGTTTGTGCTCGTTCTATTCCACGAAAGACAATCTCCGTGGCAATGTCAGGAAGGAATCCGCACCATCGTCTTCAATTCTACCATTCTGCGGGAAATTTTGCGTGGCTGTGAAACGTACCATCATTAAAGTTAAAGAACGCCAGCTCTCTGTCACCGAAAGTCCCATGGAAAGAAGAATGTTCGGATTTTCAAGTCGCCACCACATGTCCAACACCGCGATTAGACCGCACACAGTAGTGAAGGACGTCATCGTCGAAAGCAGATGGGGGGGGGGCAGCTGCGTTGGGCAAGACAAGTAGCTCGGCTCACCAGTGGGAGACGGTTGGCGATGATCGTTAACTGATATCCTCGCGGGCGGACTGGGCCGTTTGATCGTTCACCTCGACGGTGGGAGGATTTTATGAAGATCCGGGAAGGCCGCTCTTCGAGGAAAAAGCCTCTAAACCGCGAGGATTCGCCGTTGTGGTCAACACGACTCTTCGCCGATTACCGACCGGTCGAAGTGATCCAAGTGATTACTTCGTTCCATAATCCTCTTATGAATTTGGAAGTTATTGCGAAGTTTTTTATGTCCTTCTTCCCACTTCAGCACCAAAATCGATTAAGAATGCTTCGACAATCTAATTTATTCCGCCACTTGCCACGCATTGCTGCAGAACTCTTTGCGTACTTAACATTATCATGATCTGTCAAAACTGTCCATATGAATGTCTTAAATTTTGGAAACCAATCACTTGACGTTTGAATCTGTTTCAAAATGCACAAGTACGACTAATGATAATACGCAAACTAATGTACACGGTGTAATCATCATCCTCAATCTTATTCGATGCGCTGCTGAAAGAATCCGAATATTGCTGAAGCCCTATCGTCGGTCAGATTTGCCGTTTCTCGGAACGGTTGTCAGGAGTATTCCATTCACGCGTAAAACCGCGACATAACACCACATATACGGCTATAAAAAGCCGGTTGAGTGCTGATTGCAAATTGTGCATTCACGTGGTAATGGAAGTAAGAATGAATCTGTTCTTGGTGCTGGTTTTTTTACTACATTTTGCACTCTGCAGATTTCTCCTCGCCACTTGTGATGAGATCATTCTGTACTGATTGTATCCGCAGTTATTCAAGCAAATGAAATCGACTGATTCAATGATTGATTGATTTAGATTTATGTGCTCATCTACGATCCGTTGTCGAGTTTGATGCGCTGTTTGATTAACTGAGAGGCACGCCGCCTCATCCTATACTTTTGATTGACGAATCGCTAATGAAACGAGATCAAAATTTTTGCCAAGTATACACTCTTATTCGTCTCTTGACTTATTGCAGTGAACCAAACTGAGTGAACACAATGGTGAATATTTCGAACTACGTAATTAACAGAACATATGTTTACCTGAAGTTCGGGCTCATGTTTCGATTTATGAAGCCATAAGTTTATACCTCTTCCCTCACTGTCTTATTCTCGTTTCGTTGATAAGTGAATGCCGCTATGTTGGATGGGAATCCTTTGTCCATGTCCACAAGGCAGGGTGTGTTGTCGAAAACTGCCAGTGGTGAAAAATAAACGGTGAGCATAAAATGCAATGGGATTACTATTCAGAATCAGTGTTAATATCACAGAGCTTACGTGTGAGGATAATTAGAGGTTGCATTTTCATAATACGTTGATATTCCGAGCCCGTTTGAACGAATCATGTCTGATGCTGCACAGCCTTCAATAACGAACGTAAATCGGACATGAGACGACGTTCGACGTTTAGCTGGAGAAACCGCGTTTCATCCCATCACCGAGCTGGTATTTCACGCGGCCGCAAACCTGTTCGAACTACAGATCGCTATGACGGATTTTCTGTAGCGCTCATACGGAGAAATGCTTTAAGAAGATGCCATGGTTTGAACCGCAGCGTCTGCGGAGACTGAAACTTAGAAGCAGGCTTGCGATGGCTGATTCACCACCCTCAACTGAAACGTCGGCTGAGTGAGTGAAAAATGCTTATACCTCTTGCCATGATGATGAATCGCAAGGCACAGGCGCTTTTTCAAAGAACGCACTAGTTTCTCCGTGCTTTGCAGTGCAAGAACGAAACGCAGTTTTCTAGCCGTGCACTGTGGAAATCGTACATTCGCGAATATTTGCTTCGACGGAAAAACCAAACGCACACAGAGGCACTACGAATGGACGTTTTCTTGTACGAGCAACGGAGCAGTGACTTTTTTCTCTTCATACGTTGTGCGTTTGTCGTAGCATGGTTCAGGATCAAAGGCGCCGCCGAGATCATCGATCGGCTGTAGCGGAATCCGAACAGTTGCAGTTGTTTGTCAACACGGTACCGAGTCGCAACTGATTTCTCTTACAGAACACCGGCTTTCTTTGCGTTCGTGCTCTGCCGCCCCGCCGTTCAATGCCTATGACGGCGACGTTTCCTGTAGTTCGTCGTTCGGCCGTTAAACGGTGGCCAATGGACTAACGAAGCCATCTGTTTTGTGCTGAGTACCGTATTCTTTCGAACGGCATTGCCAAATCAGGCAGGTGCGTTTAGGCCATCGGCAGTCGGATAAGCAGCGCCTCATTAGCCCACTAGGGGGAGAACACGGACGCTGCTGAGCCGATTCATCGTACATGACTCTGATCCGTAGATGAGTAAACAGTGACATGCGTACATCAGCGTACGGTTACTTGCGCATCGAGTCTCTTGGCTTACGTTACCGTTGTACCACGGCTGATGTCTTTCGAAACCGGTTATATTGCGGGAAATACAGCAAACATTAATGGCCTCTGGGCGGCGATTTGATTGAATTTCTAATAAGTTACATTTTAGGACAATTGTGAATTAATATTGCAGCAAGATTGCGTTTCAGAAAATTATTGCGTGACTGATACTCTTCATCCATGAATCTGAGTAAGTGAGGCCAACGTTTTGCCAGATGCATGAATTCCACCATTAAAGGCACGTTGGCGCTTGAGACACACCTTAAAGCCTTCGTCGATGGACTGCTGAACTGGTAATCGAAAGATCTCGGATGAAGTTATCGTTAGATCATTTGCCTAAGTAGATACGATGTCACCAAATGCGGGAAGGAGACAAAAAACGGCTCACCGCAGAGCTACAGTGCACTCTTGAACTCAACGAATCAGCTTCTAATGACCTCTTCATTCATATATGTAAAACACCGACGCATCAATGATTGTTAACTGCTTTTTCCTGTCTCGTAACTTCCAATGGTAACTTTAGAAAGAGAAATCGAAATACTGAAGTTAAACAACTTCTCCCAAAAGTTCCTGATTTAGTTCGTAGTTTATGTTGGTCTTAAACGTTTGCACTGTTTGAAATTTATAATCGATTTGCACAACCAGCAAAATATACACTTTTCCATTGAAATACCGTTGCAGATTAAATAAATTATGCTTATACCTCACGTGAGATTGAACTGCTTTTCATTCTGACCTCCAAATATTATAAAGAAACACTGGATTTGTCGACTAACAAAACTTTTTCTGCAGAGCACGCCAATCGCTGACTGGTTCCTAATGAAGCAGCGAAGCGTTAAGCAGCGTGTGCATTAAAAAAACAGTCGCTAAACTGGGAAGTTCAAATGAACACTTGAGGTTTCTGATTGTCGGCCCGCAGTTGTATAGACAGGCGTTTACACTATTCATGGTCAGAGCACCAAACACAGCAGATGGCAAAACCTTCATTGCCAACGCGTTTCGCTGCATGCATCGTGTCATCATCAGGACTGTGCACAAATGGCTGCTTGACGGCACTTATCCAACAAGCGAAAAATATTA